TATATATATATATATATATATATATTTCATTTTCCATAGATATTTAGATACAATGTGTGTTTGGGATATCTGTTAAGTTCAGTATCAGTATAAAACCAACCATTGATAATTCCATGTGAGCTTTTGACGAGCATTGGTTGAAAAATTAAGCTCCTCATTCGTTAAGAGCCATAATGACTTCCAACAACGTGGGATGATGATAAAGAAGACGGTTGGATTCAACTCCCCAAACTTGAGTTTAATTCCTCCTAATCCTAGCAAAATTGGCAATGTGGTGTGCCATTATATCTACACATTTGTTAGTGAGAGAGAATATTTGCAAGATAGATGTCAGCTACTCTTCATCTTTGACTCCAAGGAACCCTTCTTGTTCCACTGAGCCAATTGAGGACTTCCAATGAATCAGATTTGACTCATCGTACGTTGTGAAAGAAAGCCTTCGTCTTTTTGCTCTGTGTAGAGCTCTCAAAATGGCCATGCATTCCACTTCTCGAGGGTTGAAGCCAGCCAGCCAGCAGCTACGCGATGACTGACTCTCTTTCTTTTATCTTAGAACTATATCCAGTACCTGCATTCGATGAGTTATGATGGAAGGATCCATCGCATTCCAATATATATAATGGAATGGAATGGAAGGATGTTGGTAACATTGGAACTTCATTTCCCTCAGGTTCAAGCTGGTATGGTATGGATAGTTAATCATTTCTGATAGCTGTTAGCTTACACCACAAAGACAATGGTCGACTCTAAACAATCATTATGATTAATCCAAAGACCGCAAAAGGAGTCAGCTGTGATACTACTAATCTGCTTAGCATTGTATTTACCATATTCTTATCCCTCAAAACACCCATGCACGAATACCAATATATAATATTAGCCACATGATATATATATATATATATATATATATATATATACATATATATGTTACCGGTACGCTTCGGTATATCGTCCGTACCAGGTGGTACATACCGATCCGATAGGTTACCGGTACGCGGATCGCCCGGTACCGCTATAGTGCTACAGTACTATACTGTAGCACTGCTACAATATGAAAAAGGTATAAAATTATTCGGTACATCAGGATATACCGCTCGGTACGCCCTGATGTACCGCCCGATATACTGGTACCGTATCATACCAAGCCGGGATCGAAATGTCGGTACGATACGGTACGACGAACCTTTTATATATATATATATAAATAGAATCATTGACATTAACGTAAGTAGGGCAAAGCTAGGAGAATGTTATCAATCTCAAAATATAATGTTGGAACCATAGCCAAGCCGCCTTTGATATCCGATAAGAGGGAGGGTGCTAATATGCTTCCAAGATCATATTTCGCCTTAAATAATAGTGCATGATTTATGTATTAGAATTTTTATCCTTCGGATTGTAGGGCTTTTGGATTTATAACGATTCTGATAGAATCTATTCATGTAAATGTAAATGGTAAACAGAAAATGCATGTATGAAATTAATGATAAATATAATGAATATAAAAAATCATAAAAAAATGTTAAACACTTGAAATTGGTAATGAAACCACCGTATGCAAAATCATGAGGTTAACATATTCATGAGTTTGTGTCAACATCGATGTTAATTTTTGGAATTGTGAGGGATTCAATTCATTAATATTTATGAGAAAATATTAATGATTAAATTGCATGTGCAACATCATGAGCAAATTACTAATTCCCTCATATAAAATTTTATTAGAAATGTGGGGGGGCATTATATATCTTATTTGTATGTAAAAATATCTTTACACTGATATTTAAGTATATATGATTTATATCATGCATAAAATGAATTACATGTTTATTCTTATTATGGATATGTTTAAAAAAATTTGACATAACTATATAATAAAGACATAAAATAAAAAAGAGGATAGGTTAGCCTATAATGGGTCATGTAGTGGTGAGAATATAACCTATATCTTAAATGTGATAATAGTAAATTGATTGGTTTGCTAAGGAATATATTAAAAAATAAAAAAATTATGTTAATGTATAAATGAAATATTTATTGTTCCTATGAAGAGATTTGAAATGATATATTTAATGAGATGTGATTGGGCACATCTTAGTATAGTAGGGGCTCTACTACGTGAGAAAATCCATAGATAATCATGATTAGGCATCTAAACAATCCTTAAAATCTTGTTTAAATTAATTTGGTTATCTCTTTTTCTTAAATGATTTAAATTTTATTTATTGTTGGTATGCGGATCGCTTTCAGGTCTTTTTCATAACCTTTCTTTTAGTTTTTATTTTATATTTTAATTATTTTAGATTTTTATGTTCTGCTCTACCATAATAAAGGTATTAAAATCTTACGAATCGAATCGAAAGCTTGGTCTAAAATTTTCAAACTCGTGGAATTTTGATTATAAATCTTATGAGATCAACAGATTCAATATTAGAGCTTGAAAGTCAATTACACTATTTTTCTGAAAATTATCAAAATTTTTCTTTTTAAAATTACGTATAAACTATTTTTAAAGAAATAAAATAAGATAACTCATATGGTTGATTGAGTGTACGCAACTGCGAGCCAACGTTCATTTTTATTATTCATAGTATGTTTTGTTCTCTTTTTCTTTAGAGATTTGGTTGAGTTATGCGTTTAAATGAGAGTTCTTAATGTAAAAAAAAAAAAAAAATCTCATATCAACACAGCAATATGCTATCTATAGAGGAAAAAATAAGTTTCGGTTGGGTTGACAAATATTTTTAAATTTTTAAAGCTAAATATCCATACAAAAAAAAATCGAAAAGACTCATCGTGATTCTTTTATGAATATCTTATGTCTCCGAGATCTCAATGCAAGAGTAAGATATGAATTTCAAGAGAATGAGAGTACAAGTAACAAAATGATGATGGCATTAAAGAGAATGAGAGTACAATTAACAAAATGATGATGACATTAAAGAGAGTTATATTTGAACGAAGAAACTAAAGTATATTGTAATTGATCTAAAAATACTTGATTTTTGTAAATAATATGTTTCGGTTGGGTTGACAAAATTCTAAAGCTAGGTAGCCATTAAAAAAAATCGAGAAGACTCATCGTAATTCTTTTATGAGTATCTTATATCTCCGAGTCTCAATGGGAGAGTAAGATGCGAGGAAATACTTTAAAGTATTATTAGATTATCTTTTAGGAATTCAAAGAGACAAGGGTGACACTAGAGAGAGTTATATTTGAACGAAGAAACTAAAGTATATTGTAATTGGTCTAAAAAACTTGATTTTCGTAAAGAATACATTTCGATTGGGTTGACAAATATTTTTGAATTTCTAAAGCTAAGTATCCATAAAAAAAAGTTGAGAAGACTCATCATAATTCTTTTATGAATATCTTATGTCTCGAGTCTCAATGGGAGAGTAAGATGAGAGGAAATACTTTAAAGTATTATTAGATTATCTTTTAGGAATCCAAAGAGAGGAGGGTGACACTGAAGAGAGTTATATTTGAATGAAGAAACTAAAATATATTGTAATTGATATAAAAATACTTGATTTTTGCAAAGAATGTCGAATCACATAAATTTTACATCGATCTTTTTATATATTTATAAATATTAATATTTTAGATTATCTTTGAAAGCCTCTTTCTATCTACATATCCTATTCTTTACCTATAAACAGTTGTATACGGGACTTCAGCTGGTCTTCTTTAAGCATCCTTTTTAAGTGTTACTTTGGATGTACATTTGTTGGATCTTCGAACTATTCTTCGTTGTTTAAGCGCAGCTGTTGTCCTTTGCACTGCTGTGTTCCGCAACGCAACACGAGCCTGCCGGCCGGCCGGCCGGCACAAAGCCAAGCTTAATCTTCGAACTACTCGCTACGCCAAGAGACGCTTTATAACGAGGAGAGACGATTCCTTCGACTACGACTCTTTCTTTCTCTCAATTACTCGCAATGACAGAGGAAAACCGGCAATTCCGCCAATCTCATCGTGAGTAACTTCCAGCCTTTTACTTCTTTCTCGGCTTCTCAATCTTTTGCAGCCATTAGGAGTTGAAGATAGCTAAAGAATCTGATACGAGAGCTGGTAGGAGTTGCTAAATCTTTGACATCTAAGAGTTACCTGATCTATTGATGTGTCTCTCAGGAACAGAGCTGGGTGGCGATGAAGAGAGGAGAGCTCTCAAGAATGCATGGCCCGAGGTTGTAGGACTCACTGCAGAAGATGCAGAGAAGAGGATCAAAGACGACAAACCAGAATCTCACGTCCAAGTCGTGCCACCAAATCACTTTGTAACAGCTGATTATAACGAGGGACGTGTTCGAATCTTCATCGATTTATCTGGCAGAGTATTGAAGGCTCCGGTCATCGGTTAGAGAAGAAGCTTTACTAAATAATGGTGGTCTCTTCTTGTTTGTAGATGCATCTTAATGAATCCAATGATACATTTCTTGCCAAAACATGTTTTAGGCAGGTATCCGAAAGGTTAGGGGATCGCGATAAGTGAAAATCGACAAAAACGAACAAGATAATGTAGAAAACCTCTACCTTCATGTTTCAGTAACAAGAGGCTAGTTAACAAATGCGCCCCATTTAAATGTTTGCTGTTGAATTATGTCAAGAAGAATAACAGGTTAGCTGGGAACAAGAGTCCCAACATAACCAATACCCACAATGAAGAATGTAATGGCCTGTGGGTAGATGTAAAAGAAGTAGTTGTTCTTGCCATACCTCAGGTCGTAACATGCACATACGAAGAGATACAGTGCCATGCCAAGCTCAGGAAGAAGAATCCTGCTACAAAACGATGAAGTTAACGATTAGCTATCGAATAACTGAACTAATTAAGAGAAGCGAGCTTTCGACAAAGTAGGTGTGTAAGTCTTTCACGACATTTCAAGCATGAGAAGTTTTGAGACTCGAAAGAGATGTTTGCAGTGTTCACCAACAAAATCGATAGACATGTGCTGCAAATTAAAGAAGGTGCGGAAATTACCTTCCGGAGATGCTCAATCGAGTTTGCTTGAGAGGTTCCTCTGTTTTCTGTTCATTCAATTTGCTTCCTAGTTTCTTGGTGACTACCCATTCATTCACTTTACCCGTCTCAAGCAGGCCGGTCCACACAGCTCTCATTCGATGCATTGACATGACGTTCTCGAAGAAGATCCAGAATAATAATAGATGAAATGAGCTGTATTCAGAGAGATTGGTATCAGAAGAGAACTTAAGCAGCATTACAGCAACTACAGAATGTGTCTACTGAAAGCATAAGGTCCAGACCTTGGAGTTCCAACTGAATTCAAGATGGTAATAGTTGTGGGGATGTAGACCACACCCCATGTAGAAACTTTGACCTCGGGTACAAAAACTGAAGATGGTATGACGACACAGTAGAACATAAATGTCACGGTATGGGATATAATCCGCCGAACGATGAAAAAGCTGTATATTAGATAGATTTTCTTCCTTGGTGATACTTTCTGCAACATCAAGAAGAACAAAACATGTTAAATTACATGAAGACAGATGGATCCAATGATCATAAATTTGTAACCTTTGTCTTTAGTATCTCTTTGTGGATCTTCCTAAACAAATTTGCTGGACCACAAGACCATCGAAATTGCTGACTACGTAATGCCTTCAGTGTACTTGGCAATTCACTTTTCACCTGCAATAGAAGATTAAGCTGTCATCGCTTTAAAGGAAACAGAGTTGAATTTGCAGCTTCAGAAAATTTTTAACAGCTATAACTATGGAATTGCCCAAAATTGTGATTCATTATATGGATTGGATCATGAATTTATCAATTCGTGGTACGTGATCAGGTAATAAACAAACTCGTTTGAGGGCATCATTTATATTTAATACAAAATAATGAATTGGACATATTAGGTGAAAAACATGTGCTCTCTTTGTTTACTCAAAGACAGCCCGGGATTCTGCTACTAGACCTTTAAGGCATGATAATAGTGAAAAGAATACCATATGGTTCTATGATTATAAATATTAATTTCTTATTGTCTTTGAGAGATAAGTGAAATCATTTACCCTCTTTTCAATGACTAAATATAAGAGAAAAATATGACCCAGGTAGGTTATATATATAAGCATTCCTGTATAGTGACTGTTTAACAAGCAGCTTGTTTATGCTTAATCTTTTATCAATATCACAACTTTCAGATGATAAAAATATTAATTGTGCATTATCAAATGAATTAGTACCTTAACATTGCCTAAATAGACAAATTTCCAACCACAAAGAGTTGCTCGTACTGCTAAATCCATATCTTCTACGGTTGTTCGATCTTTCCAACCTCCTGCTTCCTCAAGAGCTGATATTCTCCAAACACCAGCAGTTCCTGATGAGAATGTGAAAAATAATCTGCCTGTAAATGCCATTCTATAAATTGGATTATCTATTTGTTTATTCATTATATGATTGGTTGCCCTAAATTGTCATTATCTAGATAAATAAGTAGCCGATTAAGCTCTTGGAGTGATTGAGATAATTGAGCAAGATAACAAAATGAATTCAAACAGCTGAAGCAATTTAAACTCTCACAGGCTCAGAGAAGAGACAATCTCTTATCTTTTAACCTGGCCAAAAATTAGAGAGAAAAATAAAAGCAGGAAAAATGAAAATAAATATGTAGAGTAACGCAAGGTGTGGCACATTGTTGCAGGTATGGGTCATATATAAGTGTAATATTTCCCAAGATATAAATGTTAAATTATGTCAAAAATGAACTTGACCATCTCTAAGTAAGCATGAATTTAGGAAATACTTTTATAGGTATAGGATGGATTTTTTTGACTTTGATACGTTTAGATATCCATGAAAGAAGAAAGTTGCCTGCTCAAATTCATTAGGTCTAGTAGCCATTGCACTTTTAGTTCATCGGTGGTCATATTTAGTTCAACAAGGTGCATTTGATGACGATTGTTGAGAAATTTATTATGGTTTACACTGGTAAATGGAAAAACATTTTTCATATATGCCAAAGGAAATTCAGAAATCTTAGATGATTACTTACCATTGAAGCCAAAGAAGGAGTGCATTGTTGAACCCGATTCTTGTTCAACCTTAAAATGGTAGTCCATTGACATCTCCTGTATTCTTGTCATCATACACTCATTGGAGTTCACTACAAGATCATTGCATTATTCTGTGAATTAAACTTGCAATATTTAATTGTATAAATTTAATCAACCAAAAAGATACTACTGGAGGAAAAAGAAGACTGAATTCACCCTGAAATGGAAAGCCATTTCCAAGGTAATTGAATTTTAATTTAAAGAGTGACCTCAATATATGAAGCTAGATATATGGTTATAACAATAGATATTAGTCATCTAAGTAGTGCAAGGACTAGAATCTTAGTAACCCAATCAATACAGGCCAAAAAATCAGAATGATTATGTTCATGCACCGGTTCCCTGTGATTGGCCCTTCATCTTCTTGAACATAAAGTACATCATAATTTGACATGCTTTTATATGGCCCGTTCCACATATCTGACTTACAACATCAAGATCACAAAATAACAACATTCATATAAGATGAAACATTGAGAAGGCATATATGAATGTCAATTATGGTGGTCAAAACTTAACCCCAAATGACTCATACCACTACAACTTCAAGTATGTCAACCACGAAAGCCTTCAAAGAATAAGCATTTAAACATTGACTCTTCTAGCTGTAAATATCAGGTTATATATTTCCTCATATATCTTGTAATCTTATTCTTTCTATAGAATGAAGTGACCAAAATGTTTTACATACCAAATTTCCATCGTGTTTGTACGAGACAAATATCTGGATTGTGAATGAGAAAAGGAACCGTTTGCATCAAGAAATCTGCTTCAGGTTGAAAATCAGCATCAAAGATGGCAACGAAGTCACAGTGACCCACATAACTGTGCTTCATCCCTTCTTTCAAAGCACCTGCTTTATATCCATGTCTGTTGTCCCTTATCTCATACTTTATGTTGAACCCTTTGCCTTTCCATGTCTTGCACTCTAGCTCTACTAAATTCTATAGCTTGAAAACAACAAGACACATATTAAATTGGTGAGTCTGAGCCTCCAAAGAAGCCAATTAAAGAAAGAGATGAACAGTCGATCACAAACTGATCTAGTGAGATACTACTTTTTGTCAATATGATCCGTTCTCAAATTTGAATTCAAATGATAGTATGACCGACCTTTGTCCACATTACCAACTTATATTCAGTATACAACAGTACCAAGACAATATATAGCTAACTTAGGAATTGCAGAATGGAACAAGAAGATCTGTATTTTTTTTGTTCTTGAATAGAAGTAGTATATAAAGCCTCATGGTTCTTCATAGGTCCAAATCATAATGTGAATCATTAAACTTGACAAATACATAGTCACTTTGTAAAGGTCATCCAATATGTCTGAAACTAGCTTATCTAGTTAATGCATCTCCCAACACATAGAGAAAAAAAAAAGCAATTGTAACATTTGACATTTACTTGGTAGATGAAACTTTATTGTATATCATGAAACTCATTGTATTGTTGCATTGCACTTAGGAGGCCATTAATGAATGTGTCATAAGTATGAGAAAAATTCTAAAAAATAATAAGCAGCATAGCACTCGCATATTATGCAGCACTACACAGTCTTTAGATTGGGATTAAGGATTCAGAGTCCCTTATTTTTGGTTTTGTAATTTACAGTGGGACTACACCAAATTATTAAGATAAATCCCACATCTGACAGTTTAAATTATCATTGTGGAAGAAACATGAACCTAAAGAGTGAGATGCTCTGAAAAAATCCCCAAGTCATATACCGAACTCTGATTTGAACATCAAATGCAAGGTTCCAATACATGTAGATAAGGAGGCAATGCTCTCATTATTCACCTGGATAATGCTAAAGGAAGAAGGGGCTAATGATATTTGTAATGTCAGATTCTGGAGGCTGCTAGCTCATAGCATGTTGTCCGAAAAATAAAATACCAATGAGTTGCTCTTTGATGGTGGATAATGACATACTACCCCTAGAAATAGCTCATCTGATAACAGGCCACAATTATGATTCAAACAGGAGCCTTTTAAAACGATTCTAAACACAGAGCCAGGGAGACCCACTGGCCCAAACCTTAAAAGAGTCTTATTGAGGAACCAAAGGCCAAAGGTCTTCACATGACTCGGAAGACAATCTTGGAATTTAGCAAGCAGCCAAAAATTGACTGCATCTTTGGGAATTTACTGCGTACAACTCATGCGCAGAAATAAAAGAAGAATGGAGAGCTCATAAATAAGAAAGGCAACAATTACCTTGATCTCTGGATCTGTAGAATCGTCCAGCACTTGGATGATGATGCGATCCGATGGCCACAAGAGCCCGCAGGCAGCCCCAATAGAAAGCTTGTAAACCTGTAAGATAAAAGAGATTGAGAGAAGACGAACAGGATGGGGCAGACAAAGGAAAGGGGCAAAGAAAGCAATAACCAAAGAAACTAGCTATTATTGGAGAATGCTGCGCAGAAGAGTAAGGGAAAGAAGGAAAGGCCTCACCTGCTTCTCATTGTACATGGGGAGTTGCACAAGCACCATGGGATAACCCACCTCCATGTCCTCCCCCAGGGGATGGTACTTGTACCTCCTCTGCGGCCTCCACCGGAACACCTTGGCGAAGAGGCTGGTAGCGCCCATCAAGATCTTCTCCGAGACGAGCATCACCGACATGAGCATGCACAGCGCCACCGCCACCTGAAGCACCGGCGCCACCACGTTGGCCCTGACCTGCACCCACGCATCCGCGGCCTGCTTCCATGTCAAGCTTAACTTCAGCTCCTCCAAGGAAGAAGAAGACCACAGGGAGGCCAATACGCCCAGGACACTGCCACTCCACGGTGGCACGCTACTGTCACCGGGTACACTGGCTACTGCAGGCCGAGAAACCAAGTGCCAGTGAGGAGAACGCATCGGTAGCATGGAGGTAGACGAAGCATCACTACCTTCCATGTAACTCCACTTCCCGGTAGCCAGCTGGAAAAACTCCTATCATTCACTGGCCTGCGCTTCTTTTTGAGCTACTGTGTGTCTCCCATCTCTGTGGTCTAAACCAATAGGTAACGTTCGATCTGAATCCAACCAACGGAATCTGAGGTCAGGGAAGATCCAACCGGCTTCCACAGCACTACGCCCATCCACCAAGCTGTCCACCACATGGTTGGACATAAAAGTAAAACATGAACGACCGTGCTTTTATGTGGTGCATTAAAATACTCTTCCATCTCGTACAGTTTCATCCAAAAACACTTTCGATTCTTTCTGGGATCAGAGAAATCGAGATCTAACAAAAAGAAAACAAACGGGGAGTAATCTTTTAGACGTGAACAGTACAAACCTATAAAGATATTGAGATGTGGCTCGCATGATCCGATCTGATATAATGATTATGAAGCTGCATAGAACTAATTACCTTTAGCTTGACAACCGATAGAATGATAGGATTGGTTTGTGAGAATCCGGTTCACTCACCATGCATCTCTCTCTTTGTCACATCTCAGTCGTCCGTAGATGACAATCCTAATATGCGGTGCGTATTTAGAGATGCGTGGAGCAGACGCTGATGGGAGGCATCTATCATCAATGCATGGTTCATAGAGTAAATGAAACCGTAGAGAATTTATGTCACATATATTGATGTCAGTGGGTGTTACCGGTGCCAATGAGCGGAAAGAGCCTCTGCTGTCCGATCATTGATGGCATGCTTCTGCCACTGAAACTTAGAGAATGGTCAAAGACGACTGGTAATGAATACTGTGTAGTATTGAAATGGCAGCATCACAATCAATTCACAAAACACACCGATGGTGGAGACAGACAACCAATGTAGACGGGAAGTCAACAAACAAATCGTCGAAACCACAACCAAAAGGAGGGATGTGGAGATCAATTCGACTCCATTTGTTTCGTAGTGAAAAAGAATAGAAACTTCTTTTTGCTGTTCATCCTTGTATCTCTCATGATTAAATTCATTTTGTTTGTTGTTCTTAGATTTTTGCCAAAAAGTCGGCAATAATATGTGTTCTGATCAAAGTGGACAGAATTTAGAATCTCCATCCAATAAAATTTGCCTCAATGTCTCTCCTCTACTAATTACACTTGTGGTTGTGGAAATATGCAACTATAAGAGTCCTCGTACCAACACCAACAGGATACGCTTGTGAGGAGAGATCGAAAAGAAAGACTAACAAAATAGTCTTACACTAGTAAGATTGAAAGAATCGAATGGTATATATTGAGTTTAAACTCCTAAATCTTTATCGGGTCTAGTGGTCATGTTCTTTATCACTTCCGGTGCATCCCTGTACTCCCAAGTGATGACATCCTCAATAATCGTCTTTGTATTTAGCCGATGAACTCAGAGTTCATAGGAGCATTGCGAGACCAGCAAAAGCACCGAGCAACAAAGACAAGAGTTTGCTGGTCCGGCCTCTCGACACCAATCGACATGTCCGCGAGCAAACTTGATTTGTCCATCACGATCCGCATTCTGCTCATCCAGCAATCATTGTGTTCGAGAAACAGTGCTTCTTTGTGGCATTTTGTCAAAGAATCATACCCCCACCACCTCCCCCCATTTCCTCATTCCACCTAATCTTTCTGCAGGGTTACTCGAGGGACCATTTCGTCGGATATATTACTTATAAATTGGACTTAATAATGGACAAAGATTAAGATTTTTTTCTCTCTTTACACTGACCAGGATAAGTTTGCGTTGAGAACTAATTGAAGTTAAACCTATATATAAAAGGCCAATTTCTTTATTATTAGAATATTAAATTAAACTTTGAGTGTAATTAGAAAATTGATTAGCATTGAAAGATCTGAAAAGTTATTTCAGAGTTTGATCTTTGTATGTCTAAGAGATAATTGGGGTGAAATATTGATAGAGAGATGTGAAATTTACACATATTTAGAGAGATGATGGTGCTGAATAAACTTGTAAATAAGTTTTTGTATAATTTATCTCATGTAATTTTTCTATGATATTTATGACATCAATCAATGGTGTGAGGAAAAAATGATTGCATGTAAACTCCCTAAGCATAAAAATTATTATTATGTCTAAAAAATTTAATATAAAAATCTAAAATTAAATAGTAATAGATTTAAATTTACGATGTATACCATTTGATGTTATTTAGAAAGTTTTTATTTGATTTACGGACGCATTGTCATCAGATCTAAAAGTTATAACAATACCGATTTATAAGGAAATTAGATTTTTCTTTTCAAAGGAAAGACGAGAGAAGATATATAATCTCTAGTTTACATATTCGCGTGACTCAAGGATATATATATATATATATATATATATATATATATATATATATATATATATATATATATATATATAAAATATTTATTACATCAATTATGGTTGAGGAAGAAAATGATTACATCAACTTAGTAAAGTCTCATCTCTCGTTGAAGTGCTTGCGGTGAGGAACACTACATGGTATACAGACCCAAAGCAACAGGCAATCCACTCACGTTTAGAGGTCTACCTCCTCTGTTGGGGACATGGCCCATTAGTTTAGCTCATAGTGGGTTTTAATAACTCATAATCCACTTTAGTTATAACCCTTTTTTTCACTTAATCTAGATCTAAAAAGGGGGCTAGTGGCGACTACGAATAGGGGCTAAAAAATTACAGCAACGTGGTTAAGAAAAAGAGACGGAAAGAGTAGAAAAATAAGAGAAGAAGGAAGTAAAAGAAAACAAGGATAACTCATAGGTTGTTCTCAATTATCTAGGTAGTGTTATCACCTTAAGTTAGATCATATTTACAGTGGACTCTTGTTGTGATTACTTGGAGAGATTTTATTTAATTTCGTTGTATGTTATGACATACTTGTATTTATTCATATACAAAGTTTCTTTTTATTCCAATATTAGAGTAAGATTTTTGGTGGTATTTAATTTTTATGTTTGAACATGGATGTTGGTAGTGTTTCTCACATAATTAGCTTAAATGAAAATAATTGAATGATATGAAAACCAAGAATGAAAAATCTCTTGTATTACAAAGATTTATATAGACATTTGCAAGGGGATAGTAGAAAACCCATAACTATGACAGATGATGATTGGAAGAGGTTAGACGAAAAAATAATCTGGTTTATTCGATAGTGGCTCGATGACAGTGTCTTTCATCATGTTTCTACTAAAAGTTCTGCATACTCTTTTTAGAAAAAGTTGAAAAGTCTCTATGAAAAAAAAAACGGTTGTCAACAAAGCTTTCTCGATCAAAAAACTTCTGAACCTGAGATATAAAGAGGGTGTTTCTATTGCTGAGCATTTGAATGAAATGCAGAGTATCACTAACTAGTTATCCTCTATATAAATGTCTGTTGATGATGAGTTATAGGCATTGTTGCTTCTCAGTTCATTATTAGAAAGTTGGGAGACATTAGTGGTTTCTCTCAATAATTTTGTGTCAAATGATATTGTCACTGTAAGAGCCAAGTAATAAGCAGTTTGTTGAGCGAGGAGTTGAAAAAAAAGAATTCAATAACATCTCAGATTAATTCATAAGCACTTATTTCAATAAATAGAGGAACGTCAAAATCCAAAGATAGAAGCGGTTCACGCATGGGTAGAAGTAAGTCAAGATCAAAAAAAATATTATTTATTATAATTATGGTGAGAAAGGACATTATAAGAATTAATGCAATCAACCTAAGAAGAGCAAGAAAAAAAGAATAGAAGTGGAGTCTACAAAGTCAAAAAATAATACCACAACTATAATACAGGATGGTGATTATTTGATTTTATCTCCTTGTGATGATATTTTTTTCTTATGTATATCAGGATCTCGAGTAGGTGATTCATACAAGTGCTTCTTATTATACTACATCACAAAGGGAGTTCTTTGCTTTTCTACAAATCTGAAAATTTTAGTGTTGTCAAAATGGGCAACTATGACACGACAAACATCATCGGTATGGTTGATATCCACATAAAGACCAACCTTGGCTACAAGTTATGCTTAAGGATGTGAGGTATGTGGTTAACCCGATGTTGAATTTAATTTCAGTTGAAAGGCTAGATGATAGAGACTTTAATAGTAGATTTCACATATGACAATGGAAGCTCGGTAAAGATTCTCTTATTATGGCTGGTGGAAAGAAATGTCACACTTTGTATATGTTACATGCTAAAGCTTGTGGTGAGCAATTGGATGCTACAAAAAAAAGCTTTAGCATGGAGTTGTGGCATAGGCAACTAAGACACGTGAGCGAGAATGGGCTATAAGTTCTTTTAAAAAAAGAGATATTGCTAGATCTTAGAGGTACACGTCTGAACCCTTGTATTGATTGTTTGGTTGGTAAGCAACATAGAGTTTCATTTGCTAGTCCTACTTTATCTAGAAAAATGTAGGATCATGTTTATATAGATATATGTGATCCTTTGAGGATAAAACTCATGATGGATTTATTAATGTTCCTAGTATCAGTGGTATACTTTATTTTATCATTTTTATAGATGATTTTTCCATGAAAGTTTAAGCATATGCTATGAAGACTAAATGTCATGCTATTAATGTCTTTAAAGAGTTTCATGCTAAAGTTGAAAGGAAGATAGAAAGATAATTGAAATGTATAATATCAGATAATGGTGGTGAGTATATAGGATTGTTTGATTACTATTGTAAGTTATATGACATCCAACATGAGATGACAGTTTCTAGTATACCTCACCATAATACAATTGCAGAGAGGATGAATCGCACAATGGAAAAGATCAAATGTATAATTTCACAGGCCAAGCTATCCAAAAGTTTTAGGATGAGACTTTGAAGAATGTAGTTGATGTGATCAACTTGTCACATTGTATAACCTTAGATGGTAATGTTGTAAAGTATATATGGTCAAGGAAAACTATTTCCTATAGGCATTTGAAAGTGTTTGATTATTGTACATTTGCACACGTTCCAAACAATGAGAGGTCTAATCTGGATGGGAAGACAAAAGAATATATTTTTCTTGGCTACTTATATGATCAGTTTGGTTACAGACTTTGGGATTCAGAAAAGTAAAATGTATTTAAAAATAGAGATATGGTCTTCTTTGAGGATCAAACCCTTGAAGATTTGAAGGAGGCACCAACCAAGACTTATACAGAAGGATTAGCATATTATGTCTCAATTACTCTTCCAGTATATTAGGGTGATGGGAGAGACGTATAGGAAGATGGTGTAGAGTCTAATGTTGATCTACCTACAAGACATGTTAAGCAAGAAGAAGTTGGAGAGCAACATTAACCTTTCATAAGATACTCTAAAGATGAGTATATGATGCTTACTGATATAGGTGAACTAGAGAGTTATCATGAAACAATTGAAAGTGAGCAGAAAAAGAAATGGTTAGTTGATTACAAAAAGAGATAGATACTCTGTAGAAGAACCACATATATGATTTAGTACAACTACTAAAGGGAATAAAGATCTTAAAAAATAAGTGGGTTTTAAGGTTGAAGACTCAAGAACATAAAGGCTTTAGTCAAACGAAAGGTATTGCCTTTGAAATGATTTTTTCTTATATTATTAAAATATCTTCTATTCGTGTTGCTTTTGGTATTGCTGCTAGCCTAGACTTGGAGGTTGAGTATTAAATATGAAGACAGCCTTCCTTCATAGTAATTTAGGGGAGGAAATTTATATGGAGCAATCAAAATACTTCAAAGTCAAAGGTAAAGAAAATTTTATCTACAAGTTGAGGAAGAGCTTGTATGAGTTGAAGCAAGCTCCAAAATAGTGGTATAGAAAGTTTAATTCATTTATAATTGAACATGGATATAAAAGAATAACTTCAAATTATTATGTGTATATCAAACAGTTTAGTAAGAATTTTATTATTCTCTTATCTTATATTGATGACATGCTTATCCTTGAAAAGATATATCTACAATTGATAAGTTGAAGAAGAAATTAAGTGAGTCCTTTACGGACATGGGGCCAACAAAGCAAATACTAGGTATGTAGATTTTTCGTAATAGAAAAAAAAAGAAGATTTAATTATCATAGGAGAAATACATCGAGAAAGTATTGGAAATGTTTAGTATGAGCAATGCAAAGCCAATTGGTTCTCCTCTTTTTGGTCACTTTAAGGTGTGCTTATAGTACAGTCCGTCAAGTGATAAGAAGAAAGAGAAAATGCAAAATGTTCATTACGTTTCAATAGTTGGAAGTTTAATGTACATGATGGTATATACGAGGTCAGACATCGCATATGAAGTGGGTGTCATTAGCAGATTTCTTATAAATCTAAGCAAAGAGCATTAGGTAGTAGTAAAGTGGATCTTTAGATATCTCAATGGGAGATTTAAGGTTTATTTAAGTTGTGGAGGTAGATCACCTGTGTTGACAGGTTACACAGATGCAAATATAGCAAAAGATATTGATACGAGGAAGTCCTCATCAGGTTTTATACTTACTTTTGCAAAGGGGGCTATGTCATGATAATCTAGATTGCAAAGGTGTATTACTCTCTCAACTACAGATGCAGAATATATCGCTGCTATAGAGGTTTATAAAAAACTATTATGGATGAAAGAATTCTTAGAGCTGAAACAAAAAAACTATGTAGTGCATTGTGATAGTTAGAGCGCCATTCATTTTTGTAAGAACTCAACTTTTCATTCCAAGTCAAAGCATATACATGTCAAATACCATTAGATTCGAAATATACTTGAAGAGAAGTAGTTGCAACTTTAGAAAATTCACATAGATGATTATAGAGCAAACATGTTGATAAAAACCTTATCGAAAGAAAGATAGGAGATATGTCAATAGCTAATCGACATGGCTTCACATTGAGGAGTCACGGGACAATCTCTCTTATGAGTTAAGGGGGAGGTTATTAGGCACATGACCCATTAGTTCAACTCATAATAGACTTTCATAACTCATAGCCCACTTGAGCTATAACCCCTTTTTTTCTCTTAACCTAGATCTAAAAAGGGGACTAGTGGTGGCTGCGAATAGGGGTTGAAAAACTACAGTAATATAGTTCAGAAAAAGAGAAGGAAAAGATAGAAAAACAAAGAGAAAAAAAAGGGAAAAAGATAAAAATAACTCTGTTCTTAATCATCCAAATAGTATTATTATCTTAGATTAGATCAGATTTATAATGAATTCTTGCTGTGATTATTTGGGAAGATTTTAAATATCATGCATAGTGATATAATTCTTGTATCTCAATTATTCTCTTGTGATTATTGCTTGAGATTTAGACAAGAGACTCGAGGATCTATATATTTATTATTCTCATAATAATTTTTTTCACATAAATCTTGAGATCCTATTTAATTATAATTTTTATTTAATTTTATTATGTTATAATCAGTTTGTATTTATTTATTTGTGTACAAAATTTATTTTTATCCCATTCCCGATGGCTTCGAACATCACCTTTGGCAACCAATAACAAAGTACTACCACGGAAGCCAGCACTCCCACATATATGAGACGTAAGCATCCCCGTACTCCGCAGCCAACTCAAAGAAGATAGAGTTCGACATATATGAAAAGCCTAATTCTAAGTTATCTAAGACTCAACCTTATCAATTCTACAAAATAAAACCCTAGTAAATTGACTTAAATGAATGACTTATAAATATATTCTCTATAATCATTTTCAAAAATAACAATGAAGCCGACTCATGCAAACTACCGTAATCATATATAAATATATAATTACATGGTTGGTTACACATATATCATGTATAACTATGTTCTTCAGTTGGAGAAAAGCAACCTAAGAAACATACTTCTTATAATGTCTGTGTTCACAGATGCTGTATGATCTGCTTCAGCGAAGCATAAGTGCCTGTAACTGCAACCACAGAGCCAGCCACAATAATTGCTACTATGCACAGCAGTTCATAACTCCATTTCCTGGAGTTCTTGAAGATTTTAAGGTAACACACACAGGGCAGCACCATCGTTGCTGTGCTGCTCAGAAATGAACCTGTGAGCGCTACGATGTCTCCAAAAAATGGAACACTTAACGCCACAGCCACTGTGGTGATCACAATACCAGTTCTGATGACGAGGCTAATCGACCAATGCTTAGATACGTGCAGCCGATCTTCGATGGCACGAGCGATGGGTGTCACCAGCAAAGCGTACTTCACGAACGGAGTGATGAGAGTCGTGCAGATTGCTATCTTTGAGCTCAGTTTCCCAGCTTGAAGGTTTAGTGTGATCTGAGACTTCAAGGTTTCACCGTACATCAGGTAGCCTACTGTTGCCATTAAGCTGTAGTTGAGAGTGCAGAGTGTAAAGCTGATGAACAATACCTGCAGCATGGAACAAAGGGTAGGCAAAACTATGACACCCGCAGTGATATATGGGCAAGAGGGAAGGAATATTAATGGCATCAGCTTAATTACCATGGGGAACATCCTTCTGTCTTTCATGGGAACGTATATGGTGGGGAAAACGGCATGACCACTATAACAGAAGGCGTAAAGGCTGACAGCAGTAGGAATTCCAGTCCAGTTTAGAAGAACTCCTCTCTCGTGGAATCCTACGCCATCGACTGCTCCAGCCCAAAGAACAGAGGCTACCACGACGAGGGAAGCCAACACTCCACCAAGTGACACATAAGACAGTAGATCTAAGCTCCGCAGCCATGTCGTGGGCAAAATCACAAAGGCTCCAAGGAGAATGAACGCTTGTTTACCTCCAATCTTGAGTCCGGCAATCACGAAACTTTTACGTGGGAACAGCTTCTCCATGTTGTCACCTTCTAGTATCAGGAACTCGGTCGCCACAAGATACAGCTCCAGATACAGGAACACGGACACAAGGATCCTTCCCTTGTGCCCCAAGGCTATTTCACCTATGTCGGGATAAGTCTTAACCAGTGAGTTCGAATCCATGCAACGTTGCAGCAGTATCCCTGTGTAGCAGCAGACGACTGCGATAGTCAAAAGAAGTATCATGCTCAACCAACCCCCTTGAGACACAGCATAGGGAATCGACAGTATTCCGAATCCTGCGAAACATAACTCTTTGATGTAACTAGAGGACATTGAACATACAACATCAAATAAATGCAAGTGCTGAGAAGGAAAGCATGGGACCTGAGAGTGCATTGACACCATGGAAACTTGTCCTCCAGAAGCTTGTGCCAGTCTTCGGAGGCAAATCACACTCCATCTGCTCCCTTGGGGTGATGCCTTCTTCAGTGGTGGTTTGCGCGAAATGGCAGGTGGTTCTTAAAAGGGAGGAAGGCAGCTTGTCGAGCATGAGTTCAATTATTGGTGATGAGTAGATATCCATTAGAAGTAAAAGATAGAAAGAGAAGTGTGCTACTTCAGAAAAGAAGGAAGGCGAAGTCGACATATGCGGGAAGGGACTTGCACTTGTGAGCTGAAACTTCAGTGCAGAAGAACTTGTGGCAGTGATGAAGCTGTCCGTAAAGATAAAATGCTTATATGCTGATATAGACCCATCTAACGCCACTGCCCTGTGTCTTCTGGGCATCCTCATGTTGCTCAAGGCACTATGGGACAATCATGCTTCGATCAATCTATTTAAATCAGACAAGCTAAAGAAATTATTTCTCTGGTAAATAATCCTCTGATTCGTATGGAAACAGCTATACGTACTCGCAGATTTCCGTAATATATATCTCTGAACATTCGATACAGGCTTCAATTTCAGCTTCCTACATAGTTTGGAAACATTACATTATCCCTCAGCTCAACTCATGTGTACGTTGTTCATATGATGGAGCTTCCAGTTTTGCTGGAGTAATTGAAGTCACAAGATTATTATGCATTTTGCACACTTCTTTACACAAAACTACTCTCTCTCTCTCTCTCTCTCTCTCTCTCTCCATTGTTTACGTGCTGGTGCTTCCAAGTTTATCTTGAAATGAAAGCCGTTCTTGAAAACTCACGAGCTATTATACAGACTTTGAGATGATAGTCGGCAATGCCGTTCTTGAAATGATGGTCACAATCAACCATTAAGCTTTTAAAGAGAAAAATGAGATCGTATCCATGAAGATCTTGTGATGCATTGCTTTTTTATTGCAAGGAATTAAATTCCTTACGCAACTCGTAGTTCTCTTTTGGTGAAAGGTTGGTCACACCTTTTCTTCTGTGGAAAATGGCAGCTAATAACAGTTCCTTGAGGCCTAGCGAGGCTCTGCAAATGACCACTACATCTCGAAATAAGATCCACATGATGTGTCGCACGAGTTACTTGAGGGTGATATTGTGGTTAAATTATATTCTCTCTCTTTTTCTTTTAGAAAAACAAAAGCCAGGAGTCTGATTCATTCCAAAAGTTGAGGTGATCCAAGAAAGAGAGATGAGGATGGAAGAAAAATAAAAGAAATTAAAAGACCAGAAAACGATACGCTCAGCAGCAACATGAGAGGAATCCAAACAGTATAAAAAGAGAATCCAACACTGATGAGGAAACCTCTGTGTTAGCTTCATCATCTTGCATAAAACTTGCATACAATTCAGAATAAGGGTTGCTTGTGGAAGAAATTTTATGTTCTCCATGTATGCATACAACATAAAAGAAACCCAAACAGCCTTAGGAGATCCTAGCAAGTATGGAGCACTCTCCATGTTTGATGCAATTTATTGCATACTATTTAGCACTCTTACGCCCAAAAGAGACTTCTTTAAGGCTTTTATAATACTGCACTAACCAGTCTAATATCTCATTTCATAATTTATGAGAGTTCTTTTAGGGCACAATTTATGTGATTTCTAGCTTCGATTGTAATATATATGGTATGGTAATTATAATTGTACTATGCATCCTGATGAATCTCTAATGTTATCTGATCAGATCACATGCAACAAAAATATGTGCAGCCCACCTAATAAGACACAATATGGGACTTCAATTTTTTGTGAAGAAGACTTGCACTGCATCAGAGATAAAAGATTATATCGTGTAATTATTATTTATTTATTACATCTGATTTATACTAAACCCACAAAGAGCACCGATGAGGCTAAATCGCCGTCGGTGGCCGTTTCTCCGGCCCTCATCGACGTGGCATTAACTCGTACCCGCCCTCGAATCGATAACCGAAGCGATCATGGAAGTTGTTCCAAAACACTGTGGGGCCCACCTGCGGTTCCCCGCAGCTCACTGGGACGGGTAAACGACGATGGGTAGACAAAAGCAGTGCGGGAACAATGATTTGTTTATAGCAAGCAAACCTTGACCTACATTTTAATATTAATACATCAACATTATATATACATAAACACACACCACTGTCGGGCCCACCTGTGGTTTCCGCCCCTCACTGAGACGGGTAAGTCACGAAGGGTAGACAAAGTGGTGCTCGAACAATGATTTGTTCATAGCAAGCAAACCTTCACCCACCTTTTAATATTAATACGTTAATATTATCATATATATATATATATATATAAATAAATAAATAAACTCGACTATAAAACGATGGCGCAGAATCCACGGACGAACGGACGAGGTAGAACGCGTTGTAAGCCGACCTCGTTCAACTTTCGAGGTATGGCGATTCCTTTCTTTTTTCGTTTTGTTCTTTAATTGCATCTTGATTTTCTTGGTTTGCCGTTGTTGGAATTCTCGGATTCTGGTGGGAAAACGAAACGATTTGGTTCCTTTTTTAGTTTCTGGCCTTTTTCATTTATTTGCCCTATAGGGTCATCATTCCAATTTCTTCTGGAAACAAGAAATTGTTTCTTTCTTGATAGGTTCCTTTAATTTCATTAGTCGATGGAATTAGATCTCAAGTTTTGATTCTTGATTAGGGTTTCTGTTTATAGTCGACTCATTGATAAATATATAAGAAACAGGAGGGTGTCAGCGGATTTAAGGCTGTTATTATAGGTTTGCGGGAGCATTAACGAAGGAATTTTGGTGGTGAAGACTGAGCGAGGAGATGGGCGATCATGTGGTGTTGCACATTGACCGGCTGACGACGATAAGGAAGGAAGGTTCTACGTCTTCAGCAGAAGCTGCCCGTGGTTCAGATCGAACGCTTTCTGCCGCTCCGGTTGCCAGCTCTGGTGACAAGAAGGTAGAGGAGAAGGACAACAAGGTTGGTGAGGAAGAGGAGCCTCTAATTCAGATGGTTGACTGCCGTATATGCCAAGATGAGGATCATATCAAAAACTTGGAGGCCCCTTGCGCTTGCAGTGGCAGCTTAAAGGTACCACTTTGTCTCATTTGCTTCAATTCTTGCTGCTAATTGGTAGTTTAATGTATAATTCGAAACCAGTGTAATGCAATTGAAATTAATTGAGGACGGTGTTTTTTAAACTTCTAGCATTGCAGTTGTGTTCTTCAAATAGGTAACTATTATGGGCATTTTTCTCTCTGCTATATGATCATATGCATTTTTGCAGTAAATGGCTATGCCATCCATCTATGTTTATGCCAATTGGAGAGGGCCAGGTTTCTATATATTTGTTATAAAGTTTTTATGGCTGTCTTTCTTGTGCTGTCTTACAAGTTGTTATCAAGATTATCATCGTAAACATGTTTTCTTATTTCAGAAAAAAACATGTTTTAATTGGTAGTTTAATGTATAATTCGAAACCAGTGTAATGCAATTGAAATTAATTGAGGTCGGTGTTTTTTGAACTTCTAGCATTGCAGTTGTGTTCTTCAAATAGGTAACTATTATGGGAATTTTTCTCTCTGCTATTTGATCATATGCATTTTTGCAGTAAATGGTTATGCCATCCATCTATGTTATGTCAATTGGAGAGGACCAGGTTTCTATATATTTGTTAAGTTTTTATGGCTGTCTTTCTTGTGCTGTCTTACAAGTCGCTATCAAGATTATCATCGTAAACATGTTTTTTTATTTCAGAAAAGCAAAATATTTAATATTTGAATAGAGTTCTTCTGAATGAGCCCACTTTTATCTTCCTGCATCTTCTACTAGTAGCCAAACTGGTTTTCTTCTATTGTTTTAGAACACAACGCTTGGTGTACATCTGATTCTTCTCTTGTATTGATTGTGAAGTCCTTTAAGTGGAGAGTCTCTGAACATAGCAATAAAGAACAAGCAGAACAAAATTCTAGATGATTATTCCATGATTGATGTAGGATTGTTGCACACAGGAAGGAAAACCACAAAGGTAATTACTAGGCGAGGACATGGCAATCAAGTGGGCCTTAGAGAGACAAGAGAAGAAGACAACTTACTCTCAGTTGATTACCAAGTCAATAAATTATGGTTTATCCTATACATGACCAGAAAATTTTCATAATGTCTTTTGGATATTTATTATTAAGCTTCAGTTTTCTAACATCTGGTTGTTCTACTAATACCTTGAGATAATTGTGCAGCTCCTGTACTTGAAATTTGACTTCATGCTATTTATGCAAAATCATTGAAACATTTTTAAAGTTATAATAACGGTTGATTTTTTGAAAGCAACTGATGCAAACACCATACATTAATGGTGTAGATAATGTACCAAATGTTTGAACTTTTGTTCTTTGTTGCTACTTTTTCTTAAGTCTTTTTCTGTTTCATTTATGTCTAAGTTGTTCTCATTTGGGCTATTCAATATGTAGTATGCTCATAGGGCATGTGTGCAGCATTGGTGCAATGAGAAGGGTGATATAACATGTGAGATCTGCCATGAGGTGAGTTGCAGTTCTGGTTGTAGTTTCTCAGTATTTTTCTCACAATACGTGTTATTTATTTCCCTTAGATCAAACAACTTACAGTTCTTTGTTTCTTCTTAATAAGATTAAAATGTTTCTTTTGTAAAGACCATGTTTTTTATATTTTTTATTAGAGTTTATTTGTTGATTCTCAGATTCTTTGATCTCCATTATGTTAATTCAGTAGGAAATCCATATTAATCCTACTTCTTATCCTCCAAGTTCATGTGTAACAAAGTCAATTATTCACTCATAATTTTCCCTATAATAGTACTCAACTTCTTATTTCATCTTCGAAATGCAGATATGAGTTTCTTATGTATAGTGTGTATCGGTTTGACAAGAATAATGTATTCTCATATTGGTTGTAATAAGAATAGCATTTTGTATCTGAAATGCTTGTTAATGGTTAGCACTTCCTGTGATTTGCAGCAATACAAACCTGGGTACACTGCTCCGCCACAAGTCCACCCTACTGATGCCGCAATTGATATTAAGTATGTCATCTTCATAATTTTTGTTACACTATTATTGGTCTATATTTTGAAAAAAGGACTGTAATTAATTTGTTACCTCAAAAAACTGCAGTGGTGGTTGGATAATTACAGGTTCTCCTTTGGATTTGCATGACCCACGTATACTGGCAATGGCAGCAGCACAGCGCCACTTAGTTGAAGATGAATATGACGAATATGCACCAAATGCTAGTGGTGCTGCTTTTTTCCGCTCTGCTGCTCTAATAGTAAGCCCTTTATATGCAGTACAATTGGCAATGGTGCTTTATTCTTTAGTGCCGCTCTGCTGCTCTAATAGTAAGCCCTTAATATGCAGTACAATTGGCAATGATGCTTTATTCTTTAGTGGATCCCTTGCAATATATAGCTCCTTAGTGAAAATTGCTTTTGGAGCTTTTGGGCTCTGCCTGTCTAGTGTACCATTTATCAGTTATTCTCCAAATGAAAACTGTAGTTGTTTTCTTAGGTAACTTACAAAAGTAGACATTTCTGTCAAAATTTTCTGACACGTTGCTTTTGTGAAGCTATGAGGATGATATAAGAATCCTTTTTGAAGAGAACAATGTTGTGGGAAAAGGAGATAGTTAGCTTATCATTGTTGATTGGAAAATCTCAAGAAGCACATTGGCATGTTCTTTTACTTTTGAAAAGGATCATATATCACTGTTTGATATTATTGTAACTTAGTTCCACAAGCAATACAATTCAATTCTCTAGGGAGGATTTTAAGTTAAACTTTTGTTTTCTAACTTCTTGTCGAACTATCCTTGTAATTTTCCCGATCTTTTCATTTGTTTCAGAGGTTAAATTACATTATTATTTGTCTCTGTAGAAGCTAGCTCCATTTTGTTGTCTTGTGCAGAGAACTTTTTGACCTCATCCATTCTGAACTTGTTAGTTCTCATCTTAAGCTATCATTTAAATGGTTTGTCTTAAAATAATCATGTGGCATGGTATTCATATTGTTTTGTAAACCTGAATGTTTTAGTTGTATACTTACTGTTTTCTCAAATGTTGCAGTTAATAATTCTATTGCTGTTGAGGCATTCATTGACCATTACTAATGCTGATGGAGATGATGATGATGCTTCCACCTACTTTTCAGTAAGTAAAAATTCAGAAACTATAATTTTCTTAGGTTATATCTTATTCGAAGTCTCAATAACATATAATTTATTATTTTCAGCTTTTTCTTTTACGGGTTGCTGGATTTTTGCTTCCATGTTACATCATGGCTTGGGCCATAAGTATCTTGCAACATCGAAGGCAAAGACAGGTCAGCAACCTCTTAAAACTAAAAAATGCAGGCACATGTTTGAGCATTAGGGATGGGATTTGTTTTCTCCTTACTGTGTTACCAAGAATGTGGTTGAACTTTTTAATTTTCAAAGGCCAGATGGAATCACACTTGGAGAAATCAAGTAACCATATTAGTGTAAACAGGAATAGTAAAATTTTGGTTTCTGCTCTTTGTTACATAATTTTTTTACTCTTAAAGCAAAATCATTGTTAAAAATAAAACTTGATGATTATTGTGGCCATGTTTTAAAGTTTTTGTCCAGCTGTCATTTACGTCTGACCAACATCCAACAAATCAAACAATTTGGTAGCACAGGGTATCCTGATTATATTTTTTATCTACTTAAGTTGTACTGGGCAGTAAGGTTGCGGTCCTGATTAGTATCTCGACATTATGCCAGTTCAATAAAATTTTGAAATCACTATGAGACCAGTATATATAACCTTAATTGTAACTATCGGTTTACATCTTGGTTCCTGCTTACAAATTCATGCATGAAAACCTAGCTGCACTTTGACCAAATCAGGTTAGAAGCCTCACATAGTGTGTAGATTAGTTTTCATCGAATGGTGGACACAACCTATGTTAGCTCCACTTTAACCAGTCTAAAGCTTGTATATTTTCTGTTTTGCAAATTAAAGCTTGGACTTTTTTAGTTGCAATTGAATTGTATCCAAAAATTTTATCATACTTCACTCTTAAGTTTAATATGGACTGTGCATGCAACATGGAATTATTTGTTGAGTCTAGCTGAATTGAATACTTTTGTGATCCGATGGTTATCTCATTCCAAGTGATCGATCACTCTGATACTTTTCTTTGGGAACTGATAGATGTGTTTTAGTTGGCATTGTTAATGGCAATCACTGTTTGAAGATCTGTTTATTTAAATCAAGAATTTGACCCACATACATGAAGCTAGTGTATTGTTGGATCCTGCGCTCTCCTCCATAATACTAGTGAAAGATGATTCCTTTCTTTTTGTTTCTTAAGGCCGTTTGTTACCAATTCTGACCTGACATTACTTTGAATTCAAATGCTCAGGAAGCAGCTGCCTTAGCAGCAACCGAAGTGGCATTCATACTGCAGTCTGGACGTCGACAGGGCTTGCACCTCACATTAGCACCAGAATCCCCCGCTACTCCCCAACAAGAACCACATCAGCAGCAGTTATAGCTGGAAACCTCCTTTCATTAGGCTATAAGTTGATCCAAAACAGAATTTTGGTCCATTTGTGTCAAGACTTTGTCATCTGAGCCACAGGTTGATGACTGAGATCAATAATCTTTCTCTTCATGCATGTGATTCCCCTGGGATCACATGATTAAAAGGAAATAAAGCTATCTTTCATTCCTCATACACTTGCGGCCTTGTGAGATGTGTCCATCATATGATCTGAAGCCTATCAAAAAAGACATCAGATCAGCCCACAGCATTTATCAAGTATCATGAAATCCTCGAATGCATGCGTGAACTCTGTGTGATAAAATTAATTGAACAAAGATGCTAGTTATATTATCATTTCATTGATAATATGGATGCTGACTTGTTAGCAGTTCATCAAGGTCGTGTTCTCCAAAGTTTCTTTGCCCTCCCAAGTGTATGTCGTCTCTTTCTTTTCATAAGATTGGCTCCAAACTCTGTTTCCTCTAATGGCAGTCCCTGCTATTTTCGTTACTTATGTTTAGTTAATATAGCAAATCTTGCTATCGTCAGTAAATTTCTGCTAAATATGATTTTGTCAAAGCATGCATCCTTGTATCTAATTCATGATCTCAGGCGCATATATAATCACTTGCCATTAATTGTGCAAAGAAGAAGCTCTGCATAAACCTTGGCACGAGGGTTGAGTTGCTCCACCCTCCTTGAGACATTTTAGGAGGTTACAACTAGAAACCAGATCTCATGACATTTCTGGCATTGATGAGAACCAATGCAAGTCCAAGCGCAATATTGTGTTTAATCCTTAGGACTTAAATGCTTGTTTAATGTAGAACTTATAATCATATATATATATATATATATATATATATATATATATATATATATATATATATATATATATATA